GAGCACAATAGGTCACCACCACAGTGCTCTGTACCTGGAGGAAAAGGCAGCCTGAATAGATAAACACATTGAGATGTAAAATGTGATTGCGTATTTTCAAAATAAAATTGTTCAGAGGCCATAAAGATTTGTTCATCCCAAAAAGAAATGAACAACCACTCTGAGGCCACGATTTTGAGGAATGCTAGAATACAAAGCCTCCGCATCAATTGTGACCAACAGTGCCTCCTTATTTACATAAATGTATTATTATTATTGCGGGATGATATAGCCAAAATGTTCTCTCTTTTTTGTATATATTTTTGTTAGCGTATTTTAAAAACATATATTTTTTATTATTTGATATGCCACATTATGGTTGCACTGGGCAGCAGGACGCCACTTGCTTAACTTAGGTCGCGCTATTTGGAGAGGTTCCCCTTCCAGGCTTGAGGATGTATTTGGTGGCTTTGTGCTAATGCTTGGCTACACTCTGGGCTCTAAGCATGTGCATACCTGACACCAAAGACAACAGGTCATGATGTCACAGGATGGTAGCTGGCCCTAGATGCGTGCATGTGTGGTGGGTCAATTCCGCCACATCTGCCTTCTTTGAAGATTCAGGATGCTGTTTGGCATCCACAGATGGCAACAATTAGCGGCTATCATGGGGACTATTTTGGGGTGTTTTTTTGCCCCCTGGTTGGTGCATAGCTGGGAGGCATTGCTGACAAGGTGGAGGCTAATCTATGCCCCGAGATTGTAAAATTATATATGCTGAAGTTCAGCTATACAGTACTAGCCAATATGGATGCCTCCTTATGTGTTTTACTATCCTAGGGATGGTCACTTGCCATCTTGGGTTCCCTATGCTGGACCTGCTGGTGTGAATTTTGACATCTTGCCTTCCTTCAGAGGACTTCAACTAACCACAGTGGTGCTACTTTAATTAGGTGTTAAAAGAGCATGCACAATGTAATTTCATTGAACAATGGATATGATATTTCTTCAATGATAACCTATGTTTCAATTTTAGATTTGTCAATTATGTTTCGATGTCAGCTCCTGAAGAATTTGATTCTATTCACAAAGAGCATTGAGTTTTCAGGCAGGGGTGTATAATTTCTATGAATACAGAGAAATAAATGGTCATCAAAATCTATCTTTACAACAATTGTGTACATACTTACTGGAGAGTGAGGATAAAAGTATTCTATATTGCTGTTCTTCACAATATTTCTATAGATTGTGGAATTTCTTTTAAACTTTGTTATGAGAAATGGTGTATTTTATCAACACTAATCTAGGTTGTGCCTCACAAATCTTGGCTGAATGCAGGAGGTAACTGAGTGGCTGACAAAGGCATTGAGCAGCCAATTGTCTACTTCTAATGTGCCCTCTTCTTCCTCCCTCTCCTCTGCTGGTAATCTTGGTATACCCTGCAAGTTAACAATGAAGAGTAAACAGCATTATTTGATCAGACAATCACTGACTTGCTATAAGAAGATGATATTGGTCAAATGCCAGCATCCCTCCTTTTAAACATTGACTTTGGGTAAGATATATCAAGTACCATAGAGGGAGGAGGCATCAGGCAGATAGCAACAAGAGGCAATGATGTTCGCGCAACTGCAGCTTATTTCAGGTCAGGGAAAGCTTGCAGAGGACTGAGGGGAACAGCAATTCTAATCCACCGGATGAGACTTCCCCCACAGGGATTCACAGAACTTTTCAGTGTTGTGCTGACAGAGTGATTGTAGTCTGTAGCATATCAGTCATGGTAAAAGTGCCAGCCATTTGAGTAGCATATGAGGAAATACACGACTCTGCACAACAATGCTCAGTAAGACAAATCAAAGACTCCTCATTCCTCATTTTTTGTATTCCAATCCACAAAATCATTTGCTGCAACATCTATGGCCATGAGTGACATGGAGTGAAGTCTCACAATAAGTTTTCAAGGCTTAGTATAAACCACATCAAATAGGGATAAGGCGTATGGTGTTACACTGAGGGGGTCAAGGGAATGTTTAAACCACTGCAGAGTTCTTACACCCAAACTGCTATCTGCTATCTCCAGGAGCATCCTTTTCAAGGCAGGTGTTTTACAGTGATGGAGTGGAAGCATAAAATGTCCCCCAAATCTCCCCCATGTCCAAAAAGACACAACAAGAACTTTATTCATGTTTTAGAGATAACAAACAAAAACAATGGCAGTACAGTGGTGTGGTTTGTTAGCTGGGGTCTTGCACCCCTACAGGAGATGCAATTACAGAAAATAAGCATTGGACATAACAAAGAAGTATACCAATGTAGTAAATTAGTCTGTTACTATGGGTCTTAAGCCTCTATAGGTGATACATTTATACAGACTAACAAGGGATAGCAACCTCGAGGGTATTTTACCAAAGTGAACAATAGATGCCAAACTGGCTTGTACTTGTAACCTAGAAATCTAACATTCAGGATAAGATGGCAAAAAGGACGGATAAAGTCCTTGTTAAGCGCCATACCAAAAAACATACCACCATACCAATAAACAGAACTGAAAACATACTTTAGAGTAGAAAAGAAGATTGTGAGAACTTCCAAGTCTGTTGTGGCCTGAATGTGCCATAGGTCTAGTGTGCAATGTCAAAGTATGACCTCATTAAAGAGAAACAAAAATACGGTGAGGTAGGGAAGAAAGAATATAAGGGATAAGGGGAATGGTGGATTGGCAATCAGGGTGAGAGGGAAGAGTGAATGAGAGGAAATGGGGACCCCTCTCCTCCACCTAATGGCTATGTATTCAGTGTGGGCATGCCATTAACTGTGCATAGTCTACCGATTCCACAAAGATATGCCAGCAGGCCCAAGTGAGCAGGTTTTGAGGGTGTCTCTTGGGCATGGTGGACAAGTTCCTCCATTTCTGCAACTTTGCCTATGCGTTGAAGCCAGTCTGCTATTGTTGGAGGAGTTGTTGAGCACCAGTATGCTGGTATACACGTTTTCACCACATTGCCTAAATGTATAGTCAATCACCGGTGGTATACTGCTTGTGGGAGTGAAGCATGGTGGAGGAGAAATTGGGCCAGGATATAGTCCAATGTGTAGGTCATAATGTGCCTCTCTCTATTACATTGCTACATTACTAAGCTGCTTCCATACTGTCCAGACACAGTACAATAGTCATGGCTCTTTCCATTCAAATATACATTCTAATAGATTCCTATATAATAGGTTCAAGAGTAAACATATTTTGTCTCTCCCACTTTCATTGTCACCTTACCAAGCTGCTTACATACTCTCCATCTACTCTAAAATATTTGTGGCTATTGTCTCGCAAATATTAAAGTATGATATTTATTCTAAGATAAAATATGTCTTGTCTTATGTGTATGTGATTACAGTGGCAGGGAACCATCCTGAAAGCTGTATCAGTAAAATTGTAACAAGAGCACTGGGGAACCATGAGATCCCTGACTGTCTTTCCAGCATTCACTTAACACACAGCCACTGCTTTTGGGCAGCATAAAAATATTTGTTTATTTTTAATTTTCTTCCAGTGTCTGTGATATCCTCAAAAACTTTCTTTATATACGAGTTCTCAGATTTAATCCACCTTCATGAAGATATTCCTTTAATCCGTGAAATCCTCAAAAAACGAAAACTCAATATAGTGCTTATCCGACACAAATATAAAAAAACATAAATCACCTGTGATTACTGACGTGCCACCCCACTTAGTGTCCACATCTAAATGGCTGTACTAAATACCCTTACCCTATCAAAACTTGTTTAAAGCTCTCAATATCATATACTCCAAAACCGTCTTCCACTCTGCCTTTTCTTTCTTCAATATTTTCTAAAAAAAAAAAAAACAATAATAGTGCAATATCCTTTGGATACAAAAAAATGTGCTTCCCTAATATTCACGGTACACGTGTAAAATGTGAGATACACTCCCCGTCACCTTACACACCATGCACCTTACCAGATAAAACACTTTACAAGCATGAAAAAGCTCTCCTCATCCGACCAACCCTGCTCAGCTCACTCTCCATGTGGTAGCATATTAAGGGTCAAAACAGAATCTTTATGGTGTAGTATATCATATTCAAAGGGATATATTTTAATAAAGTTATGCTTACAATAAAATTATATAGAAAAAACTTTGTGATCCTTCTTTATAGTAAAAGAATTTGAATTCTCTGTAAAATCTTATTTTGTGAATGAAAAACCTCAGTCAAGATGGACGCGCCACAACTTCTGGTTGCATGTCTACGTCTGATGTCACTTCTTTGACACGTTTCGTCACTTCCGACTTCTTCACAAACTTGCACTATTATTGTTTTTTTTTGAGGAAATATTGAAGAAAGAAAATGCGAAGTGGAACACGGTTTTGGAGTATATCATACTGAGAGCTTTAAACACGTTTTGATAGGGTAAAGTTGTTTAGTACAGCCATTTACTGTTGCAGTGGACACTAAGTGGAGTTGCATGTCAATAACCACAGGATGATTTGTATTTTTTTATATTTGTGTGGGATAATGCACTATATTGAGTTTTCTATTTTTGAGGATTTCACGGATTAAAGGAATATCTTCATGAAGGTGGATTAAATCTGAGAACACATATATAAAAAAGTTTTTCAGGATATCACAGATGCTTGAAGATTATTATATTGACTTTTGAACTTTCAGGGGTGAAAGTGGAACTTTTGCGTCTAGGGAGATTTAGGTTTTTTAGAGTGACTATTATTAGGTGAACCGCATTTGTGTGAATTATTTGTAATTTTGTTTATTCTAAACTACATAATCTGATTAATAACATTGCTAGATTACCATGACCATACAGTATATATCACCTTCCTGTCTAGCCCTTCCTGATGGTTGAATGGTTGTGTCTAGAGATGAGCGAATTATTCAAAAATTCGATTCGACTGATTCGGCGAATTCGTGAAAAAATTTTGATTCGAGTCGAATATATTCGCTGCGAATTTAACTTATAAAAGGGTGTTTCTAGGCTTCAGAGAGCCTTTATATTAGTGCAGAACACTGTACCTTTAATTTAAATGCCCTTGGAGTCTGCTGGGGAAGAGAAATAATACTGTCAGTCAGTATGACATGCAGATGAGTGCCGTCGATCTTAGAATCACCGCACACTTCACTCATTTGGGCAGTCACGGGGCCAAAACCAGAGTGTGGAGCCACAGTGTGGCGGTGGAGGCAGCAGCAATGGGAGGCCATACAGCACCCTATGACAAAATGGAAACCCACCAGCAGTGTGAGGAGACCTGAAAGTGGCACATGGCAGAGTGTGGCGATGGAGACAGCAGCAATGGGAGGCGGTACAGGGACCCATGACACACTCTGGACCTGGCAGCAGCATGAGGAGGCGGTACAGGGGCCCATGACAGATTACGGGCCTGGCAGCAGCATGAGGAGTTGGTACGGGGGCCCATGGCAGATTACGGGCCTGGCAGCAGCAATGGGAGGCGGTACAGGGACCCATGACACACTCTGGACCTGGCAGCAGCATGAGGAGGCGGTACAGGGGCCCATGACAGATTACGGGCCTGGCAGCAGCATGAGGAGTCGGTACGGGGGCCCATGACACACTCTGGACCTGGCAGCAGCATGAGGAGGCGGTACAGGGGCGCATGACAGATTACAAGCCTGGCAGCAGCAACTTGGACAGGAGGACGTTCAGCTTCTGCACCGTCGGGTGCGTGCTCGCAAACTGTTGTCTCTTGGAAACGGATTCCAAGAAAGACTGCTGACGGAATCCGTGAAGAGGAGTAGCAGGAGAAGGAGCATCTGAACGAGCGGAATATGCCAACAAGCGACAACAGGGGCCCATGACAGATTACGGGCCTGGCAGCAGCATGAGGAGTCGGTACGGGGGCCCATGGCAGATTACGGGCCTGGCAGCAGCAATGGGAGGCCATACAGCACCCTATGACAAAATGGAAACCCACCAGCAGTGTGAGGAGACCTGAAAGTGGCACATGGCAGAGTGTGGCGATGGAGACAGCAGCAATGGGAGGCGGTACAGGGACCCATGAGACACTGTGGACCTGGCAGCAGCATGAGGAGACGGTACAGGGGCCCATGGCAGATTAAGGCCTGGCAGCAGCAATGGGAGGCCCGTAATCTGCCAGCACCCTATGACAAAATGGAACCCTGGGCTGGGGCAGGCAGAACCGCCGTATCTTTATCACGGTTTTCCCCAGGCCACCGAATGGCGACGCTGCATATGCTGACGCAACGCTGTAGTCCCAACATGGGCCCCCTGGCCACGCTTGACTTTCTGGCCACATAGTCGACATACGGCTACGTTTACTTCCTCGGGCGGCTTGACGAAAAATTGCCACACCGCCGAGTAGGAAACTTTGCCCCCGCTACTCCTCACTGGCTGACTGCTACTTCCTCTGTGCACACCGGCACCACTACTGGCCGTGGTGGTAGGCTGCAGTGGAGCTGGTGCTCTACTCCGTGGCCGTTTGCCTCCACTGACACTGCTGCGACCCTGCTGCCTCCTGGCAGCAGCAATGGGGAGGAGGAGGCGGTACAGGGGCCCATGGCAGATTAGGGGCCTGGCAGCAGCAATGGGAGGCCCGTAATCTGCCAGCACCCTATGACAAAAAATGGAACACACCAGCAGTGTGAGGAGACCTGAAAGTGGCACATGGCAGAGTGTGGCGATGGAGACAGCAGCAATGGGAGGCCGTACAGGGACCCATGAGAGACTCTGGACCTGGCAGCAGCATGAGGAGGCGGTACGGGGGCCCATGGCAGATTACAGGCCTGGCAGCAGCAATGGGAGGCCCGTAATCTGCCAGCACCCTATGACAAAAAATGGAACACACCAGCAGTGTGAGGAGACCAGAAAGTGGCACATGGCAGAGTGTGGCGATGGAGACAGCAGCAATGGGAGGCCGTACAGAGACCCATGAGAGACTCTGGACCTGGCAGCAGCATGAGGAGGCGGTACGGGGGCCCATGGCAGATTACGGGCCTGGCAGCAGCAATGGGAGGCCCGTAATCTGCCAGCACCCTATGACAAAAAATGGAACACACCAGCAGTGTGAGGAGACCTGAAAGTGGCACATGGCAGAGTGTGGCGATGGAGACAGCAGCAATGGGAGGCCGTACAGGGACCCATGAGACACTGTGGACCTGGCAGCAGCATGAGGAGGCGGTACAGGGGCCCATGGCAGATTAGGGGCCTGGCAGCAGCAATGGGAGGCCCGTAATCTGCCAGCACTCTATGACAAAATGGAACACACCAGCAGTGTGAGGAGACCTGAAAGTGGCACATGGCATGACACACTGTGGACCTGGCAGCAGCATGAGGAGGCGGTACAGGGGCCCATGGCAGATTAGGGACCTGGCAGCAGCTATGGGAGGCCCGTAATCTGCCAGCACCCTATGACAAAAAATGGAACACACCAGCAGTGTGTGAGGAGACCTGAAAGTGGCACATGGCAGAGTGTGGCGATGGAGACAGCAGCAATGGGAGGCCGTACAGGGACCCATGAGAGACTCTGGACCTGGCAGCAGCATGAGGAGGCGGTACAGGGGCCCACGGCAGATTACGGGCCTGGCAGCAGCAATGGGAGGCCCGTAATCTGCCAGCACCCTATGACAAAAAATGGAACACACCAGCAGTGTGTGAGGAGACCTGAAAGTGGCACATGGCAGAGTGTGGCGATGGAGACAGCAGCAATGGGAGGCCGTACAGGGACCCATGAGAGACTCTGGACCTGGCAGCAGCATGAGGAGGCGGTACAGGGGCCCACGGCAGATTACGGGCCTGGCAGCAGCAATGGGAGGCCCGTAATCTGCCAGCACCCTATGACAAAAAAAATGGAACACACCAGCAGTGTGTGAGGAGACCTGAAAGTGGCACATGGCAGAGTGTGGCGATGGAGACAGCAGCAATGGGAGGCCGTACAGGGGACCCAT